TGAAACTGTAAACTGTAAACTGTAAGCTAGCTCAGACTGATATTTTTCTTCTTTCAGGGCACACAAAGATCGGCTATGCACTTTACTTCTATTCCTACAGCTCCTGGTCAGGCAGAGCCATTTATATGGAGGACCTGTATGTGATGCCTGAGTTCAGAGGTACAGTACAGCCTCTGAGAAGATGTCTCATCATCACTGTGACCCTATATTTGCAGGAAATCTCAAGTAATGCACATGATCTGTCTTTCAGGGATGTTGGTAAAGCACTAATGAGCAAGGTGGCACAGGTGAGAGAAACATGTGAATACTGAGGACGATAAACCTTGAGGATTTTCCTGTCTTCAGTATTTGTGAGCAAAAAGTACAAAACAGTGTCTCAGAGGTAGCATACAGATTTGGTTTTGCCCTCCTGTAGCTGCGAGGGGGAGGCACTGAAACACCTGGCTCAACTTTAACCTATTCATCATGACCTTGTGACTTTTGCAGCCATGAGGTCAGCCCAAATAATGCAGGGATGGAGCACCACTCAGTGGCCTCTTTGCAAAACCTGACAACCTGAAGCCCCTACCACTACATAGGCTTTCTGAATGTCTGTGCACATAGGCTTATTGTGAAACATAACTTTAAAAAATGAATATAGTTCAGATATGTCTGTATACAGATAAATAGCATAAAATTGGTTTTCTAATTTAGTTGGAGTTACATTTTGGCTCTCAGGCAGTGGATGTTCCAGTCCTGAGAGGATTTTTACATTAAAGTATATAATGTCATAGAATAAAGCTAATTATATATATATATACCTCCTAAGCATGTTTTTGCATTAAATTACAAAAAAGGCACATAATTCAGACAGTGTCTTTCAAATTTTGAAATTATGAACTGCAAATACTTTTCATTTGTCTGTACTTGAGTATTTTTCTAATAACATTTTTCTGCCACGTCCTACATTGTAACACAAATAACATAATATCTGTATCATTTATAGAGCTGTACTCAGGGGTTAAAGTGGACCAGAGCCATCCGGCACTGTATTTTTGGTGCAGATGTCTATAAGTTGCAGTTGCAGAACTTCAACCTGTAGCTGGTGCTATAAGTGAGCATAGAGAGAGTATTTTTTTTGTTTGGTTAAGTTCAAATGCAGCTATGCAGCTCACATAGAAGCCCAAATGCTACTGAATAATCAAGGAAACTTTGCCTGATCTAAAGAATAGGTGCAGCAACTTTGTCTAAACCCATGCGTACACTAGAAAACTTCAGCATTCTTCCAACTTCTCAGCGACGACTTCTGGTGTATGATTAAGCTGATTTAGATTGTGCACTTCTATTTGAGCTACATGATGTATAATTTCTTCCTGTTGGCGCCACTGTACTTGGTTGTGTTTTCCGAGAAGCACTCCATGGCTGGTGCCTGCGGAATCCGTGTTTGAGACCAGTTCGTTTCTGTCATAACTCAAACCTAGACAACCAGAATTAAAGTTCTATTTTGCACACAAGACTTTTCACAGGAAATAAAGAATGAAGATTAGGGCATATGAATGGCAAATTCTTAAAACAACTTTCCTTTTTTGGGTTTCTTCAACTCCACGGGTTTCTTTTTCCTAACAGGTTTCTCAGATCCACAGCTGGAAATGTCTGCACAAAATAGACCTGTGCAAATCCAAAGCAATACAAAATTTTCTCACAAGGTCAAACTACAGAGCACAAGGAGCTAAACACTACCACAGCAAGTGAGAAAATCTGGTAGTGACAGAGGGTAATCTTCAACCTTAAGTACTGGGTGAGTGATTACTGAACGACCAAGTGTACAGTCAGGACAAATGCATGAGCCAGGAGAAGCTCACCCGTCTCTGAAACGTGACAATGAGTTGTAGTGTATCAAAATCTATGAAGAGAAGTGCTCTGTTATGTTTCCCCAGTCCTGGACAGAGCCAAGTTATCAACTTACAGAGGGCTGAATTGAAACACACCACAAAAACCTGAGTGAAAAAAAATATTTTTTTGACTTCACAGCCCGTCTCTGACATCCCCCGTTACATGGAACCTGGCCTTCAGCTTGGAGATGCTACTAGGGGTCACACCAAATACTGCTGCAACTTGGTTTTGCAGAACACCAGCTTGAACTTGAACTTGGACTAGGACGCACAGTCTCACAGGAGCTGCTAATCAGGTGTCTGATTGTCACCACCTGGGGTACCAGCAGTTCAAAACAAATCAATGTTTTTGTTCTTCTTTGCTTAATTTTTGGCCTCTAGTCAGGAGGTGTCAGTACTGGTTATCATGAGTAAGTGGCTCATTGTTTTAAAGTTAGAATAAGTCTATAAAAAGTTTATTACTGTTAGACTCAAATTCAAACTCATTAACTGAGCATACCTAAGTATTCAGTATCAGCTTTGTTTTGTCATTTTAAAAAGTCATTTTATACAGATTTTTAAAATTGCTTTTTTGTGTTTTTTTTAGTTTGTCACTGCTGTATTTGTATTAATAGAGTTGAGAACCGATTTCTGTTAATTATAATAATCTCTGGATCACCCGGAGCTGCTACTGCAATCACTGCCTCTGGTTTCCATTTGGTTTTCAGTAAAAGGAGTTTATAATCAGCTGGACTTTGGACTCTCAGACTAAACTAGACTGTTGCTCTAGATTTTGAATAGATATAAAAAATTTAGCAGCATTATGGTTGTAGAAAAGTATGATCAAATTTTGATCCATCATCATCACCCGATGATCCCAAACACACTGCCAGTGCAGTACCAGAAGAGAGAATGTGCTTTTGTAAACAGTGGATGAAGCTTAGCACACACACACAGAAATTGCAGAAAGATCCACATCCATCCCACCTGCAGCAAGGAAACATGTAAATGTTTCAGGACACTGTCCCTCGAGGGTTGAAGTGTGAAACCCTTGCTCTAAAGTGTTAACGTACAGGCCACTGAATCAACTGTAATTTGCCCATCTGATTCAGTAAAAGGACTAGATGTTACAATCCCTGATAATGCATTGCTTTAAATGGAGAAAATTTTGAGGTGTGGCTGTTATGAGGCAGCCCAGAAGCTTTACCAGCGGCACACATCGTTGTGTGTCTCAACTTTCGGTCTTATACCCAAGCTAATCTGCAATCTTTTTCCTTGGTTAGGTTTAGGAATTAGATATCTGATCTAGATTATCATATTAAAATTTGGGACGCATCGTCCGTAGTGGACCTTGGATTCTTCGGGTGTTTCGGCCATTATCATTAGACACCCTCATCCCAGAAGGGCCTGCCAGGGTTGATCAGGCCCCGGAGTTTGTCACTGGTTTATGCTAAATTGTTATTTCTCTTCTTCTTTCTCCTGTTTAGTTTTCTACAGTTTATTTTCTATCTATTCACTGCAACTGAGAAATAATACTAACCTCTTTAGAATTTATGGAGCCTCACTTCTTCAAAGGGATAGAAAAGGTGATAGAGAGGAGTGAGACAAAAGGGACAATATAGGAGAGAGCAGAGAATAGAGCCGGAAGGGGGGCGCCCAATCTGGCTTCCCACACCTCCCAGCCGGATTGGGCTGTACGCTCTACCTCCCCACTGCCTCCCAGAAAAGGGAAGAAGAGCAGAGGAGAGAAGAATAGGAATACTTTTCTTTTCTTTCATTCCTCCTTTTGGTTTCACTACTATGAGGTTAACTGCATAGTCCCCAGGAGGCCCTAAGACAGTTGATAGACAGTCAACCAGCAAAATTTGTAATGTTATATTTCACCCTTTTGACGCCCTCTCTTGAGGCAGGCCCACCACAGGACAATCAATCCTGGGCGTGTGTTTTGCGGTTAGCTGGCTGTCTTAGCTGCCCAAGTGATGTCAGCCCTTTCTAGCCATAGCCAGTGACTGGTGTTGCGTCTGTCCTCTGATCCCAATCTCTCTAAGCTGTTTTGCTGTGGCACTGGAAACAAAGCCCCCGGACCCCACTTCCACCGGGCGCACCTTAATCTTCCAGCCTCTGTCCTCTGTCCTCGGAGGTCATTAGCCAAATTCTGCCTTAGTTGTTCTAGTTGCCACGTATCATTGAGGTCTGCATTGTACCACCGTCCCAGGCTCTTTATGGGCTTCTCTAAGACTGTTGGAATTGGTTGTCCACTGATCTAGAATTGCTCGGCTGTTAGTTTTCCTTTCCTACCCACCGAGATCCCCGCATGACGAACTCCATTGCCATGATAAATGCCAGAGGGGAAATTGTGCAGCCTGCCATAACTCCAATTCCCAGGTGCTGCCAGGCTGTGGTGGTGTTCTCAGCTGTGACACAAAACTGGAAATCCTGAAAGTAGGTCTTGACCAGTCCTGTGATGTGGTTTGGTACGCTGAAATAGTTGAAGGCCATCCACAAGATCTCATGCGGAACTGACACAAAGGCGTTGGCAAAGTCTAAAAAGACCACGTGAAGATAATTTCCCCATCTAATCTATATTTCATTTATATTTCTATATGTCAGCAACTGAAGCTGTGCTCTGTAAGGACCTTCAGTGAACATTACAAGTAAATATTCACATCCCGACAGCCACAGCAGGTAGAGATTAAATGTTGGAGCAAAAAAATGGATCAGAAATGAAACTAAAGCTTGCTTAATTACATTTAAAAGTCTTGATGGGTTTATCAGTGTCAGTTAGCATTCCACATATCACATTAGTACCTGAATCAGTCTTTTTCTAATAAAGGACCATTAATCATAGATACCGGATACACTGCAGTTCATATACATTTATAGTTCACGGACTACCTAAAAAGTACTTTTCCTACTGCCACAAGATGGGGCTGTGCACCAAATGACATGTGAACTTCTTTTAAGAAAGACATGCACTAACCAGACATCATTCAGCTTTTGATGAAAGAACATATTGTACTTTTGTTCTTTAGAGGGAAAATACTGAGGTTGTTTTACAGCCAGTAAAGTTGAACAGTAAGAAACCAAATAATGACCTGAACCAGACATTAGGCTTCAATATAAACTACAACAAAAAGAACATCTTGATGCATGCTCAACCATCCAGGTAAGTCAATCTCCAAAAGTTGATTCTGTTCATCTGGACGCAGCGTTTGTGGGAGAAATGTTTCGTCACTCATCCAAGTGACTTCTTCAGACTAAGCTGACTGCAGGTTACTGAAAAAGTCACTTGCTACGTCCAGATGAACAGAATCACTTTTGGAGATACAAAAAAAAAAAGAAAAGCTGAAGCTCACATTACTTTTCTATTTCAGTGAAAATCTGTGGGAAGATCTTACAAATCCTTAAACTGGTCAAACTCTGTAATTGGTGCATGCCTCATGTCACAGTAA